GGAGTCAAGCATAAGGCATTATATGTGAATCTTGGATATTAATTATTGTAGTATTTTAGGTGTTTCAGCATCACACAAATCTGGTTCCTTGACCCTTGGATCATGGTGGAGAGTGATTATAGAACAAGGGGAATGTCAGGCTATCTGTTAGACGTGTAAGAGACTAGTGTTCTGTAAAACCCCAATTATAGTTGAGAATAAAATACTGTAGAACATAAAAGGTGTGATAGGAAAACTGGTCCTGAATGTTCAGGAAATGGTGCAAGATGGAATGCCATTGTCCACATCACAGCATTTTGTTTCAGGTCAAACTTGTATTCATTAAAATGTGAGATGCTGATGACGATACTCACTTTGACATAATTGCTGTAGTTTAAACGGTTTTGCAAGATACATAACAGTCCTGATGTTTAGTGGAAAATGGGGAAAGTGGCTTGCCAGAAGTCACCCCCTAACAACTCTTTTTCTGCATCTCTGTGTTGGAATAGATGCAAATAGCAGAACTGTGGGCTACATTAATTTGTGACCTGAGATAGTAATACTAATAGGGGATTTATTTCTTTGGGTGACTATTTTAGTCACATCTCATGGACATGTTCAACTTAATGTAGTCTAAAAGCATTGCTTGCTTTACCAGAATAGCTATATTCCCCTGATTGGTTTTGAAGAACCAAATGTTCTCTTTGCTTCCTCTTTTTAAAATAGCATTAGATAAAGAAGAACCTCATATTTGCTATAATTAAGACCTTTTGCTTATGTTCATCCCCACTTCTGAATTGCAGCGATGAAAGTAGTACATATTCTTTATTCCAGGGCACTGTTAGATTGCACAGCTTTCCTTCAGCAAATATGAAATAATGTTTTTATTGAAATGAAACCATGGAGTTCTGTTTTCCTTTCGTCTTCATTCACCAAAACACTGCAGAGATTCATAGACACCTAGGGCTAAATACTGATTTGGTCCCAACCAGTGCACACTCTTGGAATCAATGAAAAGTATATACAATAAATCTTATTAATTAGTGGTTTTCTCTAGCTGGGATTGTCAAATAAAGGTAGCCCACAGTTCAGCTCTTTGCCATCTGTTTTGTTGCAGAGCTGCAGAAAAAGAGTTTGCAGACTATAAAACAGGAGCAGGCAATTTCCAGAGATCTGGGGACTACACAGGGTCACCCCTGAACCTTGGTAGAGTCACACCTATTCTTGTGCCACCTGCCCCACCAAAATATTGATAAGCTCCCTGTGCCTTCTACTGGTCAGTTTTTAAAAGAGGAAGGTTGGGGTGGGGGGGTGATGACAATATTGTTCTCCATGACCCCTGAAAGACACAGTGGGACTTTCTAAGCATGTTTATTTTTTTATATGTAAATATATATAAAATAAACATGCATATCTATATATTCAATGTGTGCGTGCGCGCGCGCACGCACACGCACACACACACACACACGCACACACACACTCCAATGGATAGATGGAGAGGGAGAGAGAGGGTGGCCAGTTTGGCCATGCAAGCTGCATTTTGCCCACTCTTGGCATAAAACACATTCTTGAACTTTGTACTGATTTGGGAGCATAAATTTTGATTTTTTTTAAAAAATCTGGTACTGTAATACTGATAAGTAAGAATTGTTTATTTCTGATCTTCAGTTGCAGGTTGTTTCTGAAATTGAGAACATTTTGTCTCACTTCTGAATTCTTTTTCAGATATCCTGGACTGGGCACTTGTCCTAATAAAAGGGTCCTCCTGTCTCCCATCAAGTAGAGTCAAAATTTTAACTGGATGCAAGTCTGCCCTGTGAAGGGTCTTTTCCTTCTTTACCAAATATACTCCCCTTAAGTTCAGTGAAAGGAGAGAGAGAGAGAGAGAGAGAGAGTAGTTCAGTAGCCATTCAGATGTCAGATTGGAACTCCAGTCATTCATCATCTTTGGCTATACTGGGTAGGGCTGGTGGAACTTTCCCATAGAGGGTCACCTGTTCTCACCTCTGTTCTGAAGGCAGAGAGGAGAGTCTTCTAAGTTAAGTTAAAGGCAGTGCACTTTGTTAGCCATATTTACAACATGTCTCTACTTCACACTTAGACTTGTTCTAACGTTTACAGTTTTTTGCAGGGAGCCTGTGAATTCTTGCTGTCCTGAAGGATTTGAGATTCTCAAGCAAAGAATACTCAGTATCTTCACAGACTTTTTGGGGGAAAGTTGTGATGTCAAAATGTGTTTGAAATACATAGTATTAATGTAACACAATAGATACTGCATTGGAGATAATGGTTAATGCAGTGTGTAACGTGAAAACCTTTTTTTAAAAAAAAATCAGAATGATAATAATGTTCAACTTGAATAATCTGCCAAAGTATGGTATCCTATTCCTATGCAAAGATGGAGTTTATTAATAATATCTGTAGCAAATCACATCTGTCTTTGCTATTGAAATACAGTATACTTCAGATTTGAGCAATTTAATATTAATGTTAAATAGAACTCACAGAAAACTGTTTTGACTTACACTTTCCACTGCATTATCTTTCTCTTTTGGGAGCTTGGCTTGTTTTGTCCTAAAACATGGGGATCATGAAACTTCACATAATGAAACACTAACATTTGAACATGCATGGTCCACAGTGTCACATGCTGGTAGGATATTAACTGAGCCAGATGTGGTCTAAGAGTGTTAGAACAGAGAATTATCAGTGTAGGATTTATTTGCCTCTTGTCTTGACTAGGACGTCGTTTCATCTGAGAGCTGTGAACAAGCATGAAACACTTTAATTAGAGAAGAGAGAAAATGAAAAAGAGTTAAGAAAGGAGGGCAAAACTTGAGACTTCAAACTGGCAGGACTGCTTAGGGGAGATCATTCGGAGGCCAGCCTTCCTAAAGCCACTGTGACTCTCAGTGAGATTGGGGAAGGTTTCTGCAGCTGTGGGATACCAAAGGAGAGTAAAAACAAAATCTGAAGTAGGAAAGGGGCCGTGAGGAGCTCATATAGTTTGAAGGTGGAGCAGTCTACTACAAAGACTGTTTTCTCACCAGAATAGTGAATATGTAGTTTTCTCCAATACTGTAATGTTACCAAATAAAATCTCAGATAGGTTCAGTTGCATACGGGCCATTCCAGTGGATGTTCTATGAGATTATTTAGTAAGATAAAACATGTGCATTATGAAATATAAGTTTTGCTGCAACAGTGTATCCTTCAGGGAAATACCATTTTGATTGGGACTTCCCAGGTCAGATGACTACCAAAAAAAGTATAATGGTTTGAATTGTAGCATGTCTTCCTATACAATAATTTTATTGCCCATGTAGCTCAAATTGCATTCCCATTTTATTCCAAATGAAATTATTATACTGGCTCATTTCATATTTTTTGTTTGTTTGTTTTTCTGCAATATTCAGTGACTGTTTTAGCCTGACATAGAATTGATTAATAAATCTTGTGCTATTTGTATTGGACAAATGCAATTTTGTCTTCCCTATTGTATCATAATGGCTTACAGCAACTTACAATATATATTTGTCTACTTTAACCTCACAAGTTTATGAGGTAGGTTAGTAGGAATTCTGTCCATCTAGTGTACCTAATGGTGAAGATTTGAGAATGGAATTGTATGACAAGAAGAGGAATTAGTGATTTGTGCAGAGTTAAGTATGGAAAAAACTGAAGATGTAACTTGTACCTAAGTAGTTTCCAAAGAGGATATGTGCAGAAAGAGCTAGTCAGAGGTTGAGATGGTGGCAGTGTAGAACTGTTACTACCTGTGATATGCATGTTCATTGTTCTCTTGTTCCATTATGGGCTCTAGTTAACTGGTTTTGCAGGTTTCTGTGCTTCTGGCAGTAATTGGAGAGGGTTGCAGTCATCTTGCAGAGGCAACTCACACTGCTTCCCACCTGCATTCTGGTGTTATTTTGTGGGAACCTATTAAATGAGTGGCAGAACATTTTAGAGCTTTTAAAAATAAATACATGAAAAAAAACTGTGTTCATGCCTACACATTTAGACTTTTAGAAATAGAAGAAAGAAGGCCACCCATAGCTATATTTCTGCACAGTAATATGCAGTAGTTGAAGAAAATTTAGTTTCCCTTCAGTGCTTATTTTATTAAATGAGAAATTGCTTGTGATCCAGCTGAGTACGTTTCAGAACTCTTTTGAATTGTATGATAATCGGGAAAGCAGTTGCTTAGAAAAGAAATGAGCTTGTTTCCAAACTTCATAGGTGAGTTGCACACTATTCTCATAACAGTCAATCAAAGTACCATTTAACAGTTCTATTGTTTTTCAGAAATTATAATTGGTACATACTTTTCCTTGTACTTTTCTTTCAAAACACGCCATTATCAAGCTGATCTGTGTTTACTTGTTGCAAAGTACTAGTTTTCAACTGGATCACAAATGATAATAATATTATGATTATGGTTGTTATTATTAATGCTGAATTTTACCCAAAGGTAATATACTGCTTTTTAATACATGGAGAACAAATTTTGGCAAGTACTTGCTCCTGTTGGCTTCCTGCTTGCTAGTGCAGTGTCTGACACAGCTCCTGACAAAATAAGTTGTCCAGATTGGTTCCTATAGTCCGATGCTGCAATGTTTGCTGGTCATCACTTTTGTAAAGGGTTTGGTGGGGAACCTAGCTGTAATTTCTGAAAAATGCTTTAGACAACAATTTCTCACAAGTCTTATTTGAGTGCAGCTGTGAGAAGAACAAGATAGTTCATTGTAGCATAGATAGACCTTTGTTCTGAGTTTGGTTTTTGTTATATATACTCTACATTAGGATTAGGGGACGTATAGCCCTCCTGGTGTTGGGACTGCAGCTCCAGTAGGCTTTAAGCAGTGCAGCCACTGTTGAAGAATGGTGGGAATTGCAGTCCAGCAGCATTTGGAGGGTCATATGTCCTCTATCCTTGCTACACATTCTACAGATGTTTGATCTGGAAGTGAATTATTCAGGACTAATGAGTTTGGTCTTTTGCCTCCTCTCCAATCTAGGACAAGCTTGCCTTCTCCAATGTTTTCCAGAAATGATTTTAGTATTTGGAGCATCTTAAGAAAGTGCATTGGAATGGTAGGTGAATCATAAGCTGACAATAAATATCTATGCACAGTTTTTATGCTGAATATCTTGTGTGCTGATTTCCTTGTACAAATGAATGACTGATTCACAGTCTATTTTTAAGTAAATGGATATGTCTTACCCATAATACCACTTAAACTATTTTTTCTACATTGCCAGATCCTTTGACTTTCTATAGCTGTTGTTATTTTGACTTATATACTGCCCCATAGTGCTAGACCACCCTCTGCGTGGTTTACAACACAAGGATGCAAACAACAACATGCTCCCCAGTGAGCTGGGTACTCATTTTATCAATCCTGGAAGGATGGAATGTTGAGTAAACCTTGAGCTAGCTACCTGAGCCCATCGGAATTGAGTTTGTCATGAACAGAAGCCTGAGTGCAGTACTGCAATTTAACCATTGCATGACAGGACTCTTTAGAGATCAGTACATGTGATAGAAAGGTTCTAATAATGGGATCCCTGTACCACAGAAAGGTGTGGTCCAGGAAGGGAAGGGCAAAATGTTCTCAGTTCATTTCTTATCCCTTTAAAGATTGTGGGGTTTGGTTTTTTTGCTTTGTTTTCTTTTTTGCTTTGCTTTGTTTTATTTGCAATGAAGGCTATAGCAACCAAGGAAACATTCTTGCAACTTAAGCACAAATTCTAATCCTCCTGTGTATAGGAAGACTTCTTATAAAACTGAAAGTGGAATATCAATATAACAAAATAAAAACAGGACTTGAGTTGAGGCCACAAGAAGTTGATAATATGGGTTCTTGTGTCATAGAACAGCATGCATTGCTCATGTTTTCCCCAGAAACTTAAAAAAAATTATTGTGTGCAGTACTCCCAACTGACAAGAAAGCAAACCAGAAACATATGTTATGAGTAAATGATTTCACTGACATTCTGTAGTGCTGAGGAGTATCTTCAGATTTTGCCTCCCTCTTCCCCAGTTTTTTGCTAAGTTCTCAAGAATGCTACAGACACTTCATCTTCAGTTGAGTGCCAGTAAATGAATGGCTTAGACCAAGGGTTCCCAACATTGAGTAATCCAGGTGTTCTTCAACTGGAATGCCTAGAAACCCTGAGCACCACAGCTGGTGGTGAAGGCTTCTGGGAATTGTAGTCTAGGAATACCCAGGTCACAAGATTGGGAATCACTGGATTAGACTATTGTAAGAAACTGAACCGAAAAGAAGGAGCAGTAGCAGTGAACTGGTAGCTCTCTTGTAAATAGCAACTTAACTATACATTGGACAAGATGCTAGTTTTTTTTCTTTTTATGGCCCAGCATTAAAACAGATCTGCATTAAGTAGTTGCTAGAAAGATTACAAGCACATGAATTTCTTCATGCACTTAAAAATGCCAGTGTCTCACATCCACCATGACATACTGATTGATAGCTTTCAACCCAACTCTTGCTAGGAGTAGAGATGGGCACTTACTGCAGACTGGCAGATCAGGCCCCCTGGTGTTGCACAGGTTCCCTGGATTCTGTGCCCCACCTTCTCCTGTAGGCACCCACTCTGAGGAGGAAGCGGGGCAGGGAAGGCCTCAGTGCTGATTCTGACCGGCCCCCCCGGGAGGAGGCCATGTGTGGAATCAGGGGCATTCACACAACATCTGTGGGCCCGATCTGCCAAACTGTGGTAAGTGCCCACCTCTACTAAGGAGCTTTTGTTGGTCTTTTATTTCAAGTAGCTCCAAAGGTTGTAAAAATTGGGGTTTTCCCCCTCCTCACTTACCTTTTAATTCTCAAAGCATCCATGTGAGGTAAGTTAAAATGACTGCATGATGCTCTTGAAGTCACCCAGTCAGTTTTGTGATTGAATGGGAATGTGCAGCTGGGTGTGCCTGGTCTTACTTCAGCACAGCTACACATTGCATCAGGGTAGTATAAGCCACTCTCAGATTTAATAATGAAATACATAAATCTGTACACAGTTTAACACTGCTTTTAAAATTCTACTAGGAGCTGTCAAAGATTACTATGCCGGTAATTTTTAATGAGCCACTGAGTTTCCTACAACGACTGACAGAATATATGGAACATACCTATCTAATTCATAAAGCCAGCTTACTTTCTGACCCTGTTGAAAGAATGCAGGTATTCTTCCTCTAAAAAAAATGCATGTGGTGTTTTCTGAATATACATACTGTTTCCTGTACTTAGAAAAACAGGAAGGCTGTTTATCGCTATGGCATTTATAATTGTTGTGATTGGCTAAAGAATGCTTGACAAAATAAAACTTAATGTGACCTCTCCATAGTGGCAGAGAAAACTAGCTATTAAATATCTGATCTTCTAGGTTGGATGTAAGCCTTTTCATTTTTAAGTGATGGTAATCTAGCTTTTTCTCTTTCTTAAATGTCAGTGTGTGCTACTGCACTACTTGAATTTTTACTTCTATTTTATGAGAATGAATGCTTCCAAAGACAGAATAAATGGTATGATTTACATTATGCTAATATAAATGTGTACATAAATATCTTTTTTTCAACAGTGTGTAGCAGCATTTGCTGTTTCAGCCGTTGCCTCTCAGTGGGAAAGAACAGGAAAACCATTCAACCCATTACTTGGAGAGACATATGAACTGGTCAGGTAAAAAACACATAATATTTAACTGAGTAGCTTACTGAGCTGATCCAGTCCAAAGTAAAATGTTGCCTTTATTAAGCCACTAAAAACAAACGAACGAACAAATGCTAGTTTTTGAAAAATGTCAGTGTTTGTCAGGCTGCCATGGATGGTGTAGAAAAGAACTTTAAAGTTCCAAACGTTTATGACCAGATGTGTAGGCCAATTGCAGATTTTACATCTGCCGTTAATTAGAAGGTCGCTTCCCAATCTCCATTCACATTTTTAGCCTTCCCTATCCTGCTAGGTCAGTGGTTTCCAACTTTGGGTAACCCAGGTGTTCTTGGACTGCAGCTCCCAGAAACCCTGGCTAGCAGAGCTGGTGGTGAAGGCTTCTTGGAATTGCAATTCATTAAGACCTGGGTTACCCAAGGTTGCTAGACAAAGACCTGCCAGTCGGCATGCCACCCACCTGCCCCTCTGCACATATGTTGAATGACTGGCAGCCCTTTGCTCAGTGGAATTGAGAGAGACGTTCCAGTCAACACCAGAGATGACCACTGAAGCTGCACCTCTAACTGGAAACGTCCTTTTAACAAAGGGACCCGGCCTGCACATCAGACCATGATTCTTTGAACTTTTAAGGTGTTTTTTTCCCTGTACCACCCAGAGCACTGTGGGGCCCAGCCTGATGAAGACCAATAGAGGTTGAAAACTAGTGTGTCTGTGATTTTTAGTCCTCTAATTAAGATATCACCTACCCTTGCCTTTGTATCATGTATTGTTGTTGACCTGATCCAAGTATTCCTAATTGGAGATGAGGTGAAGCTACCCAGATTGTGAGGTCACAATATGCTAGAAGGTTTAGCCATTGCTTAGTGTCAGTTTATATCCTTCATTTGCCAGTGCTTTTAATGTCTCTTCTGTATAGTCTGATCAGATACTAGATGCATGTGACATTAGATAAACATAACTTGCTCTCATGAATGTTTGAATAATATTTAAATTTTTGTTCAATAATTTGTTTTGTTTTGTACAACCTTGGTACGTCAGAATCATCTCTTTATCCCCTTCTGCAGACAAGCTCCAGCTATTGCTCAACTATCACTTTCTTTCTGCATTTAGGGAGGACCTTGGATTCAGACTCATTTCGGAACAAGTTAGTCATCACCCACCAGTCAGTGCTTTTTATGCAGAAGGACTGAATAATGACTTTGTGTTTCACGGCTCCATTTATCCTAAACTCAAATTCTGGGGGAAAAGTGTTGAAGCAGAACCTAAGGGAATAATAACTCTAGAACTGCTTGAGTAAGTTGATTTGGCAACTTAATGCCTTTTGATTGCCTCATACAAAATGCTAGTGGTATGTTTACTGCTGTTATGAACAATGATAAACAGTGAACAATACTCTTCGCTGAGCAAGTGTATGATATGAAGGGAAGGCTGAGCTTAGGCAAGGAGACACTGCACTTTCCAAGGCCAAGAGTTCAAGTTACTGTCTCTGGAGCCTCTATGGAATGGCTGGCCATATCGAGCTTATCGTGTCTGCTTTGAGAGAGGCTCTTTCCATAAATGTCCAGGTGGTTAGCCATGTTAGTCTGTTGCAGCAAAACCAGTGAAGAGTCTTATGAAACTTTGTGAACAATTTTAGGGTGGAGGGATGCTTTTCTGTGTTGCAGACCACTTTTTCAGATGCATGAAATCTTTCTTCTATTTTCTTCTTATGTAAATTTTGACTAGGGGGCCTCTATGCTGCAACAATACAAGCAATGCAGGGGATGAGACCAAGAGATGGGGAGATTTCAGATAGGGGGTTTACTGACTAGTCTTAAGACTTTCTCAATGACAGCATTCACATTATGAGTACAACAATGGTCATCCTCATCTACCAGGAAAAAAAATTAGATCAGTATTATAATAAAGTATATTGTGATCGGGTTCTTCAAAAACTGGTGGTGGTTCCCTCTTTTGGGCGGGAATGAGAGCCAGAGATGATTTTAAAAATTGAACAGGCTCCACTTTATTCACATTAACTTCAGTGTCAACTAAATTAAATGGGTCAAAACAACTCAATTCAGGCAAAGTTTTATAACAACGAATCTTTACGTCCGTCGTGAAGAAGTCGCTCCTTACATCGGGGCCGGGCCAAAACGTTCCCGATCAGTTATCACCCTCAAGGGGGTACTCCTTATTGTGCATACTGTCGCGCAGCAGTCAGCCTTCTCCAACCTGCTACCCTCCAAATGCTTTAGTTCTGAACTCCTGTCAGACCCCTGCCAGCATGGCTGGTGGTAAAAAAAATGCTCGGAGTTCTAGTCTAAAACAACTAGAACATATCACATAGTTGAAGGCACAGTGTCTCTGTGTCCTGGCTTGGAAAATACTTGTAAGTTATAGCCAGTGGTAATAATGAGAAGTTTTGCTATACTGTTTAATTTCAGTCCTGACTGTTGCAAGGCTAGTGTCCTTACTGAAAGCAACATGATAGTGAAATAAAAATAGTATGCAGCCATCTGTCTGTTGACACTGCTGCAGTACTTGGCCATGATCAATATTTAACTGATTGATCATCAAGTAAGCATTAGGGAACTCCCCCTCCTTTTCCAACTCGGGTCACACCCCAGCTGACTTCATATCTTTGATCAAATGCCTTTCAGCAGTGAGTTACTGGAGTCTTTTGTGCTGTTGTCTCCAAAGACAAAGCCACATTACAGCAAAAACAACAAGGAATCCTATGGCACCTTAAAATTTTTTGTTTGGCATAAGCTTTCAGGTGCATCTGAAGAGGTGAGCTGCAGTCCACAAATGTTTATGCCAAGTGAAACTTGGTAGTCTTTAATGTGCCACAAGACTCTTTGTTATTTTAGCTACAGTCATCGAAGACCTTCTTGGAATCTACAGTAGAAGCAATGTGATTCATTGTCCTTTGTGGATGTGCATGAGTTTCTGCTCAATCCAGCTGCCTTCGTCCTCCAATTCCTGAGCTGGGCAGCAGAGGCTTCCCTCTGTTTCATTCCTTGCAGTTTGTGGCAAAGGCAGCCAGGTGGTGCAACCAACACTGCCCTTAGTACCCCGCCTATCTGGTCTTGCGACTGGTCTAGTGTTAATCCTAGATGAGGTGAAATAGAAATGAGGTGAAATAGAAAGGCCAAAAAGACTGGCATCCAGGACAGTTTGTACTCTGCTAAAACAAAACACCTGTGTGCCACCCTAATCCAGATTTGTTACTGAGAGCCAGTTCATTGACATATTTTGTGGTCCCATGGAACTGGAGCATTCATGCTTCCCTGCCCACATCTACCGCTGTGTTGTATTTAAAATATCCATACTCTAATTGATAACTGTGGGTTCTTGTCAAGTGTTTAATTGGGCCTGAATTAAAAGCTACCATTCATTCTTGTGACAGAATTCAGTAGAACACAATTTAGTATCTGAGCATATTCTTTTAATCCAGAAATTCACAGGCTCTGCTTAAGAAGATTAGGCATGTATTTGCCATTTAAAAAATAATACAGGACAACTGATATGCTGGGGTTGAAAATTACCTCATTGAGAGGTATCTTATAGTTAAGATGTCTTTGGGAACGGGAGGTATAGTGTTTAATGTGAAAACCTCTTGCTCCTGTTAGTAAAGTTGTGAGCTAAAGCTAAAAAATTATTATTTTTTTGTATGTATGGCCACTATACTCTGCATTCATTTATTTACAGTGGATAGTTAACATCAAGATATATGTGCCTTTTCTAAGAAAGGTGCTACTTATGTCTTTTTAAAAAGGGGTAAACCTAACACCTTTTGTTCTTTTAATTACAGACATAATGAAGCATACACATGGACAAATCCTACGTGCTGTGTGCATAATATTATTGTGGGCAAGCTTTGGATTGAGCAGTATGGAAATATGGAAATAACTAATCACAAGTAAGAAGACTTGCTACCTGGCTTGAAAATGCAGCAGGGTCCCACTCGCAGGCTGAAATACTGTTTCATATCTTAAGCTACATAGGGAAATACATTTTTTTGCAAATAAAAAAAATCCTCCACCTCCACCACCCCAAAGGTTCTGAGACTTCCTCTTTGTCATGGGGAAGCCATGGAATGGGGTAAGTCTTTCATTTCAGAAAATTGACAACAGTAGGATGACTTTACTGGCTGTGGCAATTTTCCCTCCACCACATGGCATCCATCATCATCAGTCTTACTGCACTGTAATGTACACAACACAACTTCAGCCATCATATCATAAAACTGACACTCTAATCCCATGGTATAGTAATCAAAACATTAAAGGTACTTAAAATGATTTGATTTTTATTAGGTAATATGGACTTCTCTGATTTGTCCTTCACTGGGATGCAAAGCATGGCACAGAGTATGCCCAGAGAGGTCTGCTACTTCCTTGGCCATGTCAAACAAGATCACCTTGATGAAATAAATGGGATTTATGCTCACATAAGTTGTGTATGTTCTCATACCGTCTGCGAGATAATCCAACCACTCATGCAGCAGTTGCACAAGTAGAGGGAACAAAGAGGATCTTCACCCCATCATGTTTTATGTGTGAATAATGAGAGCCTTAAGCTATAGCTTGATACTTTTCTCCACAGTACAGGTGACAAATGTATGTTAAATTTCAAGCCTTGTGGCCTTTTCGGAAAAGAATTACATAAAGTTGAAGGCTACATTCAAGACAAAAAGTAAGTACTTTCTGTTAGTATTTCTAAAATGCACTGAAGGGATATCTTTTTTAAAGATCCTGCAGTGTTTAAGGTTTTAGTACTTAAGTAGAATACTTAAAGCAGGAAGAAAGAATCTCTGGAGCTCAGATGTTCCCATCTGGTAGCGAGGCTTCTTCCTAGTCCTCTCCTCTACCCCATGTTCTGCCCTATGAAGGCAATCCAGAAGAGGAATCTTGTTGATCATACAGGATTCCCCTCCGTGCCACTTTGCCCCATGCCTCCTCCCTGACAACTCCACTGCATGTGGACTTTCCCAGACATGTCCTTGTCATTGTGTAGTTCTTGACTCTTTGTGTGCTGGTTTTTGTGCCAAGTGTGAAGCTGAATACCAGAATAAACCAAAATACTTCAAATGATCAAAAACACTGCAGCCAGACTTCTGTATGGCACTGGAAACAGGGAACATATAGCTCCCCTATTAAGACAGCTTTACTTACTCACTGCCTGTTTTTTGCAATTCAGAGTGCTGGTTATGATCTATAAAGCGCTATATGGTTTGAGTCCAGGCTGTCTGAAGGAACGTACCACTCCATATGAGCCTCCTCAGCTATTAAAGTCTTCTGGGCATGCCCTTCCCTCTGTCTACCACCCTTACAGGTTCATTTGAAGGACAAAGTGAGAAAGGGCCTTCTCTGAGGCTGCACCTGGCTATTTAGATAGGCATTTCCATCAATGGAAAACTGTTGAAATTATCAACCCCAAGACAGTTCGCACCACCATTTAAAATATTTAAATATCTAATGTATTACTGTGTAATTGTTTAATTATTGTTATATTTGATTTGATTATATTTGTTAGATTATGTTGTGAACTGTCCAGAGTGGCCACCAGATGGGTGGTATACAAATTAAATAAATAAACAAACAAATAAATAAATAAATAAATACAAATGCACTCCTCTGGGAAGCCAAATTGCCCCCTCATCTTTCTGTCAGCAGATAAAGACCTTCCTTTCTAGGCAAGCTTTTAATTGATTTGAACAAGTAAGTGGCATTATGCTTTTCTTTTTTGCCCCTACTGAATTGAGGTGGGTATGCTTTTAAATGGTCACTTTTATATTGTTGCCTGTTTTAATTTTTAAAGAATATTCTATCTCATAGTGTTTATCATGTTGTTGCACTAGATTGTGAGCCAACGTGAGCCCCTCATCTCATAGTGTTTATCATGTTGTTGCACTTAGACTGTGAGCCAACGTGAGCCCCTCTGTGTAAGGAGGCATGTAACTAAAATAAGTAGATGATTATAAATAATAAATAAAATGATTCCACTGGTTTTGAAATTGATGGTTTTGTGCTTTTGTAGCAAAAAGAAAATTTGTGCCCTCTATGGAAAATGGACGGAGTGTTTGTACAGCGTGGATGTTGCTGTGTTTGAAGCTTTCAAAAAAAATGACAAGAAAAACACAGAAGAGAAGAAAAACAGTAAACAGGTACAGTATTAGTATGGGAGGAGAGCATAGCATCAGGGTCGCTGTTCAGATGCAAAGCACCCAAGGTATTGTTCTCTTCATGTGGACTAAACAACTGAAAGAGTTTTGCAACATTGAAAGTAACTTCTCAAAGCTTTCAGAAATCCCAAAACTATTTAGTGGTGGTGAGGTACTTGGAATGCAATGTGTTTTGTTCACACCTGCTGTCTCCTCTCCCTGCCGTTGCCTATCTCCTTACTTTATTTTTCTGGTCAGATAACCTTAAGCTGTCATTCCCCAGTTCATTCATACCAGGAAGTGCCTTAATACAGGCCAAGACCTTTATACAGAGGTCAGCATACAGTATGCTGGGGGCAAGAGGAAGGGAGATAGGGTAGTTCAAGGGTTCATGCTCGGTTTCGTCAACCATGATATATACAGCCCTAGCCAATTAGACTTGTGCCTCATCTTGTGGATGTGGGCATCTTTTATACCCCTGAAATGAGCAATGTTCACAACATTCTCTTTTGAGAAATAAGGAGTTTGCAGAACTCTGAATGTTCATAGTCCATGCCTGTTTCTAGGTTGAAAGGTGTTCAGCTTGTTCAAAGTAAAATCAAGCTTTAACTTGTTAAAATAAATGGTGGTGTCCAACCATAGTTAAGGATAAAGTGATCTTAATTTTACTGAGAGGGATTTAGGCTTAACTTTCAGCTGGGTCTTCTCAGTAGTGTGTATATTTTTCATGTCATACCAGTTATGCTGCATTTTTAATGTAAGTGTCTTCAGAGCTTTCTGAATGTTCCAGTAATGATTCACTTGATTTTTACTTGCACTCAGCTTTCAGTACTTATTATCAGGAGTACGTAAAGGCTCTGGAGACATACTACTGTGTATGAGGCAGCACCTGTAGAGAGCCTGGGGAACTGGAGGAGAAGGAAAGAAAAACATAGCATCCCTATATACCTCTCACCTAGCTTGTCAAGTTTGGTGTTACGGAAAATTGTGGCTCTTATGAGGAAGGACGTATGAGGGCTTTGCAAAGAAAATGTAGTAGGATAGTAGCAGCTTTCTAATAGATTTGAGGTAGGTCCAAGTCCCTCCGAGAAATTGTTGATGTTTAAACATTCTTCTAACTCTTCTTAGTATAGAAACTAAATATTTTAGCGGAGTTTAATTTATATACCTATAGCTATGTTCATTCTTCTTTTCCCACATCTCTGATTCTTATGGTTAGGACTGTAATATTAGTCAGTAGGGCATATGTACCAGCTTGTTAAATTCCAGTGTTTATGCTTGAAGTTGGGATAGCTGTATGGGTCAGGATTGTAAGAAGAAAAAAATAAAAGGGAAGAAAAACTGATCAAAAGATCCCACGTCTAACAGCCCAAGGCATCCTGGGAGTAGAAAAGAAAGTATATTGTATAATGTAGTCATATCCAGTGAAGAGCTCACCAGCTGAAATTTGACTTCCATAGTAGTCTGTATGCTGTACCAAGAATCAGTTTTGAGAGTCTTCTCATTCTGAGAAGCAGCTTGCTATGCGCCATTGGAAATGGCTGTGTAAGAAACAGAAATATGAAGTGGAATTGTGCATAAAAGAGCTAGGTGTATAGTTCTTTGGGATTCTTTATAGTCAGGAGCCAGAACTGAGGCAGAAGGTTATCCAGTTATAACTTCTCCTATGAATTGTAAGTGCGTTTTGCCATCTTAACTGCCTTTACCCATGCCAAAAAAAAGCTTAACTAGATCATTTTATTCATTCATTTTATTTAAAATATTTTACCCCACCTATCTCCAAAGCAGCTTATATCATTAAAACAAAATATTAAAGCTAAAAACAGCTATAGGTGAATATGGACTAAGTGATGGAGAAGCAGCAGAGCAGGGTAATATGGCCAAAGTGGTCTTCACTGACATAACCTGAATTTCCAGTAGAAGTGGGAAGATTTCATCATTATAATTACAGTGGTTCCCCGCATAATGAGCGATTCGTTTAACAACGAATATTTATTTATTTATTTATTTATTTGATTTATATCCCGCTCATCTGGTAAATCTATACCACTCTGGTAAATCTATACCGCCGCATAGCGACGCGGTTTTTTTGCGATCGCAAAAGCGATCACATAACGATGTTTTAGATGGTAAAACATCGCTTTGCGATGATCGGTAAGCGTTTCGCTTACTGATTTTCGCATAGCAATGTTTTTTCTAACAGCTGATTGGCGGTTCCAAAATAGCCGCCAGGTAAAGAAAATGGCTGCCCGCAGTGTTTTCGCACCCTTTCCTCGCTTACCAGGCAGCAAAAATGGTGGCCGCATGGAGGATTTCCAGATAATGGTGAGGTTTTTGCCCATAGGAATGCATTAAACGTGTTTTAATGCGCTCCTATGGTCTTTTTTGTCCCGCATAGCAACGAATCCGGATAGCGATGATTTTTTCGGAATGGATTATCGTCGCTATGCGGGGCACCACTGTACATCCTCAAAATCTGTTATGGGGAAGAGGGACTGAGAAATCATGTGGAGCCTGTTTTGTTTTGTTTTGTTTTTGGAGACTATGGAAGATTGCAGAAGAAGAGGAGAATATTTCAGTGCGGTAGGAGCTGGGAGTCAAGGCAATATTGTGTTTAGTCCAGGAACAAGTCTAACAGCATGAGAAATACTAAGGATGGTAAAGAAACTCTGAAAAACTAACTCAGAAAACAAGAGGAAAACAGAAGGAAAAATGTATTGCCAGAGGTGAAGAGAAGAAGAAAACCAAAAAATAAAACAAAAACACCAAAGACTTTATATACTAGTCCTAGAAAGCATATCTAAATCAAGGAGTTTGGTACTAACATGTTCAGAAAGTGTAGCTCAGGCTTGAAAGACAAATACTGTAAGCTTTGGTTTGTGATGGTAACACAGTTCTCTTCTTTCTAACGGCCTCTTGTTTCAGCTACAGTTTAATATAAGAACTGCACAGAGTTTTTGGTACAGAACTTGCACGAAGACCTAGACGTCCTTCTTGCTTTCCTTGGGCAGTCTGGACCACCCCACATGGTCTTGTCGGCCTATTCTCTCCCTTGCTGACTGACTTCTAGAGCTGTATTTTGAAGGCTTGTATGACAGTGGTCTTGAGGTTACACAGTACAAGAACCATGCTAAAGCGAGTGTCTCATGTCAGTGCCTGAATGGGAAAGCATGCAGGAATCTTACGTAGGCTTCCTTTTGTGTTACTAGACAAAGGTGGGGGGAAAATTAAACATTATTTAAAGGGGGAAGAACCACCTGAAGACATTGTTCAGAATTTTCTGCAATAATTGGGATTTCTAAACTTCAGTTATGTTATTTATTATAAAGCTTAGTTATAGTGCTGAGTGTGTCATTTTTTATGTCTTAAAAACATTTGTCTTTCATCCCTGTGCTATGCTTTCTGAACATGTTAGTACCAAACTCCTTGAGTTAGATATGCTTTCTAGGACTTGTATAGAAAGTCTTGGGTGCATGAAGGTTAGAGGCTACTAGCAGACATATGAAAAAATAAAATAAAAGATCGCCTTCCTTGTCTCTTATCTGTCAGCCTACTTGGTTTCTTTGCTGGCTGTGAAGGAATATACTTATCCTCTGCAACCAGAGCAGAAATAGAGTAGACTGAGGGAGGAGGAAGAGAACAGTCCACCAGCCCATTGTATGTCCCAAGGAGTGGAAAGCTGAGTTATTTTTATTCATGGCTGGCATGGAAGTTAAGAAGGATGATGGAGGAAGGTAGGAGTGATCTGTCCCTTCTCTGACTAGCTGCTCTCTTACCTGTATGAAAGTCTGTGCACTTGCCAATGGCTGCAAATGCAAATTTGTTCTATTGTGTCCAAAGCAAATAACTCATCTTTAGATTGGGATATGTCTCATCTCTCTGTCAACATCTAATGGCTGCGAATTTAGGAATTATTATTCTTTATCTGCCAGGATGCAATTGACTATAAATACATAATATTTTAGATGTCCTAAAATACGTAAATGTGTGTGTGTGTGTGTGTGTGTGTGTGTGTGCGTGCGTGCGTGCGTGCGTGTGTGTGTGTGCGTGCAGCCTCATTTGATTAGAACTACTGTGCAGTATTGTTTTGCAGCTTCTGGGTTTCATATGTTGGGATTCACATACATATTTCTTACAGGCCACCGGTTCTGATGAACCAGATGAGATGCCTTTGCCAGATTCTGAAAGTGTGTATATTATTCCTGGAAGTTTGTTATTATGGAGAATAGTCCCAAGGCCTTCAAACTCGACCCAGGTGAGGAACATTTCTGAATAAAAGTATGCCTGTCCTGTCAATTTTGCTCCCATGTTTTTTGCTTTTATTTTTGTGTACATTTGTGTGGGATAAATGTGAATTATGGCTCCAGTCACCTGTGTTGAGTAGGGAAGTGGAGTGAAGCTACACATTTCCCTCTCCTTCAGTTGATGCTTCCATTTCATTAAACCAAGAGCTAAGATTCCGGTTTGGTGTTGGCAGTTAAATTTTATTCCTCCTGAGCACCTGCCTCTTTTGGTAAGGAAGGTACTGAGTGTCATGGTGGTAAAAGTCACATATCCCCATCAGTGTACAGTTACATTTTCTGTTGTTTCTTTACTCAGCTGATAGTTGCTTACTGCTTCCCACAAGTATTGATATAGCTTTCACTGGGACTAGCAATGCAGGGGAAAAATTCCAACCAGAATGAACCTTCTATCCTAACAATATAGGGAGGCCATTCTTGGGCAGTTCTGGGAGCATCTTTATAGGGTCTCGTTAAACACCCCATGAGATAGACAGCCTTTTCTTTTTAAAGAGCAAGCAAGGCCACCCCTCCTTTTTAAAATAATTCCAGCTTTTCTAGTCACCTCTTCAAGTTGCATCTTAATTTGAGAGATGTTCAAATTTAAATGGAGAGGAATGTCCTAGACAGGATCTATAACATGAAACAGTGACTATTGTGATTTTGGTTTGCTTGTTTTTTTCCAGGAATGTTATTATGTAGTTTTATACATATCCCTGGTCAAACTCTTTCTAATTTTCAGCCTGACTTTATGCCTTCTATTCAGTCTGGAAATGGAATAATTGCATTGTTCTCCAGCAAAGCCCTTTATGTCTCCTGCATTGCTCTATCTGCACATATATAGCTACGGACATGAAATAAATGAACACTTCTTTTCAATTTTGATCTGTGATACACTTGCCTAAAAAGTTGCCTTTCACCTCTTTACAGCTTTCCTTAGCTGTAATGACTAGTTAGGTTTCTAGTTCTTCAATACAGAAAATTCAAAGACAATGTATAGTGACTTAGATAGTGTAGAAGTATACTTGTTAGTTACTGCCCATATTGGTGAATGCCTGCCGTTAGGTTGGCAGCCTGTATCATCTTGTGGTTATCTAGTTTCGAGACTGTTCTATGTGGTGAGTCTTCAGAAGATAACACAGATCTATTCTATCCAGTAAACATTTACATTCTAAGGTCAATCTATTCCCTTTTTTCTAGTTCTGCTGATCCAAGCCTTCTAGTTTATCTTTCACATTTTCTTTTTCTGTGTTTAAAATGCCTCTTGGATAATTTGAGACCATTATTTTTCACAAACATACTTGACAGAGTTGTTTGTTTCCTTCCCCAAGGTCAGTTTAATGAAAACATTGAATAAAAATGTCCCAAAACTGATCCCTGAGAAATGCTTCCTTAGAGAATGTCCATTCACAACTGATATGCTGTAAATCAAAATAACTTTCAGCAAGCACTTGCTTATGTGTGTTTATTGGGTTAATTTTAGATGTACAATTTCACGAGTTTTGCAATGGCTTTGAATGAACTGGATGAAGAAATGGAAAGTGTTATTCCTAAAACTGATTGCAGATTAAGGCCAGATATAAGAGCTATGGAAAATGGTGAAATAGGTAATTTAAATGCTTGTTTAAATGTGCATGCATACAGCGATTATTAAAATATTTAAGTGCTGGATTTTTTATCTTTTCTATGGAGATTTGCATTGGCTGAGCTCTTAGAAGAATTGTCTGCAGTAGTGGTATAAAGAGTAGCCAAATGCTAATTAGAAAAGACTTGGAATCTTTTTGGTTAAAAGTGTTTCCCGCTGGCCTTTCCATGAGACAGCTTGTTTTAATTTGGTGTCTCTGACATTTAACTTTACATCCACAAAGCCTTCTGTCTTCCTTTGTATTTTGCATTCAGGTTTTCCTTTTCTCACTGTGAACTCAAGTGTAGAAAAGTGTTGTGTAATTTTTGCATCAAACTTTCATCAGAAGTGTTCAAACTTTGCCCAGTATGATACAATTGCACACCCAAAGTATATTCATTGAATAAAAAATGATGCTCTTGTAAAACAACGTTACAAGAGCAAAGAAGGGTATGTGAAAAAGTGATATTTGTTGTTGCACATTTTATATGCTTGTTGCCATGTATCCTACTTTGCCGAGCTCCACAATCTGGAAAACAGGAGGCATTTTGCTGCCCTGATAGTGGCTAGAAAAACCTGCTATATAGTTGCGGTCCAGTTCATTAAATGGGCAAAGGTGTCGGCAACTCTCAGAAACCTCAGGCAGCACAATTGGTGGGGAGGGCTTCTGGGAATTAAATCCAGGAACACCTGGGTTTACCCAACGTTGGCAACCATTGGTTTAGGGTGCTAGTTACGTTGTCCAGAACAGCACTGAAATTGCAATTCTCGCTGCTTTCTCAACATTGCAGTTACTTAAGTGCACGTAAGTGTGATGTAATTTGATACAGCCCTGTTTTGATTCCTGGTAGATGTTGCCAGTGAAGAAAAAAAAAGGCTTGAGGAAAAACAAAGAGCAGCTCGTAAAAGCAGGTCTAAATCCGATGAAGAGTGGAAGACAAGGTCAGTAAATGGTATAAAGCTCGAGTCACTGAACAACACGTACTTGGGTGCTAGCTGCTCTCTGTCTTCAGACATTAGCATCTTGCCTTATGGTCTTGTTTAAGATAGTGGTGACCAAAAAGGGCATCTGGTTCAATTGCCTATATCATGCTTTATTCTAGCTCTTGGAATGAATGAAGAGTTTTAAAAGAATCATTCCTGCACTGCTTTTGATTGGAGCATTGAATACTGTATATCAGTAGCTGACCTCTTAATCCTGCTCACCTGTTATGTTCTTGTCAGATTGCTGATAATAATCAATGGCTTTTAGAAGGCCTTGGGTCCATTTGGAAACCCACTTCATTTTCAGGATTGGAATTAAACTTTCATGGTTGGATCCACATGCCAGCTGTTTTTAGTGCAGTCACTTTTGAAGCCTATGCAAATACATAGCACTTTCGTATCACTTGTGGGAACAGGAAAGTTATGGGTTTTCCAGGTCTTGTCAACATCTGTTTCCAATGAAACATGACTGAGGTGACAAAGGAGTACAGAAGTTCTTTACCACCTGGGAATATGAGCGGAGGAATTCTGAGTTGTATGCTGCTGTACCCAAGGACATAAAATGGTAGGGCAAGTGAAACAACTGCAGATGTGTAGATATTTATTTGATTAAAGTAATTTAGTTTTTAAAGTAATCACTTTTCTGCCCACCATGGCCCCCAACGTGATGTACAACAGAATATATTAAAAACCTTCTTTAAAAACAGATTAAAAGTAATTTTAAAAGCTGAAATCTGCATAGAATAATTGAAATTCCTTTATTGCAAATGAACAGATGAGATAGTGCTAGCTAGAATAATAGTTTTGACAGTTCAGTGGAAGTCCTATATAGATCAAGGCAGCCTGACTTCCTTTGGGAGGGGAGTTCCATAGCTGAGGTGCTGGTGCAGAAAAAGTCCCGTCTGGTACAAGCTGAACAGAATGTTCGTGTAGTTCTGCTTTCCAGTTTTGCCATGAGAAATTGTAGTCATAAAATGCTTTTTGATTCTGCATTTTATTCTGCTAAATGCATGAAGTAACATGAACTTTTTTTAACTTTGTGTAATTCTGATTTTGCATTCACTTACACATACAGTTCTTCATAAGAATTTCTAATTGAAACAAACATAGTGCACAAAGGCTACTGCCACTAGTATCCCTTCGATGTTTAAGATGCAGACTCTTCATTCCCCCCCCCAAAAAAAACATGCATTGTGTATGTGCATTGCCTGCATATCCCAATCTCTGCAGTCTTTCATTCATTTAAGGGAACGCCTATCAGTTACAAACACATTACTGTATCCTGCCCTTTCCAGAGACCGCTGAAAGGTAGAGAAGGGAGGAAAATTAAGCTTTAAAATAAAACTCATATTCCTATTCTGAAAATTACATGTAACTTACTGCTCTTGGTTGTTGAAAATAGCCAGAATACAGACTCCCACTGCTTGTAAGTTGTACAGTGTAAAGTACCTGCACCGTTGTGCCACTTTGAAAGGAACATAGGCTTGTGTACTCAATCTGAAGGAGTTTGGTATGGAGTGCTCAGCACAATAAGAGAACAAATTATGCTTAGATGCTGGTTGCAGGCTGCATTTAATATTGCATGCTGCTTTCACATTGTTCTAACACTCGTTACAGCACAGTAATTCATAGTTTATGTCGTGGATCTGGTCACAGGTGGGAGCAATGGCCATGAAGTTGCTCAAACACTAAAAGGGGACTTACCGTAATTTTTGTCAGTCAGGAAACAATGTATCTTAAGCAGGGAAAATAACCACAAATAACCTTCTTAGGGGCATTTATTTTACTAGTTTTTTAAAAAAAAAAAGAGTATGGGAGGGCTTCAAGAGGACATTTGCAATGTCTAAACTACCCTGTAAAATTCTGTGTTGGAACTTAAGAGCCTACACAATAAAACTTTGGTCCAGAAGTGCCCTAGGATTTGTGTACACTAGCATTGCACAAATCAGGATATTTAAATCCTTTTCTGCAGAACTGTGAAAAAACTTTTTAGTGCCACAAATTCATTTAGTGGCACTGGAAATGTCTAACATTATGTATTTAGGTTCATGTGAAATAGATTTGCCTAAAATAAATGCAGCATATTTTAAGGGCAAGGTGATGGGCCGAAGAACTCAGCCATTGTTTTACTTCAGATTTTTTTTTCTTCATGCTCATTTTTGGAAGCAATTCAAACTGGGGAGGAGCAAGTATTTCTGTTCCTTTAATAAATAATTCATTTTAGCAGAATGCTTTCAGTTGCTTGCAACCAGGGTTTAATGTACCCTAATAACCCCAGGCTATTAGGAAAATAATATGAGGGGATGAATGGCTTCTGTACCAAAACAGCTGAAGCCAGGGTCATAAGACTCAGTGCTGTTGGTTTCTGGACTTGATAAGCCAGTTGCAGAGCTGTTCTCTCTTGCATCAGACACTCATTTTTTTTACTTTAAAGTGTTGCACTTTTGCTGCATTTAAGACATATAAAAACCTGCAGCATGGGAGGAGAGGCCTATCCCCTAGGAATGTATTGGTTTCCCGATGCAATCAAATTTCCTATCAAACTGTTACCCATCACTTACCTTCCTGACTTGAACGCAACAGTTAAGCTTCATGTTTTTGAATGAAGAAAGCCATTGAATTATTACTGCTTTCAGCAATACGAGCTTTGTGCTGCATTTATCAGTATATGGTAAAATTCAGAATGGGACACAAGTAAGCCTTTGCAAAATCTAGGACAAAGATGCTTTGTTGATTTTCACAGAAGCATTGAATGCACGACTGTGCTCTGGGCTTCTTTTGTCATCACTGGGAAAGAGCCAAGTGTGTTGGTGTGAACAGGGATGAAATGTACCCCACATTTAAACTGGGGCAAAGTTCTAATTGCTGAATTTTTCCTACAAACAAACCTCTTGCTTCATTGCCGCACCTGCATTATATTGCTGGTGGGAAAGTTTAGAAATGTGAATTTCTTATTCTTTTGTTTTTTGTGTTTGAAGTTCCAAAAATATCTGTGTATTCCAGTGCTGTGCTCTATCTTACTTGTCATGTAATATGAACAAACATGTCAAATCTGGAAAATATAGATGAGACAAAAGAATTGAATTCTAAGAAAGTAAAGTAAAAAAAAAAAATTGCACTGATTTTCCCCGTTCTAGGCAACTGAACATACTTTAAAATTGACTGTATTTTTGGTGACAACAATGATTACAGCTACTGTATTTTCCATCTATAAGATGCTACTTTTCCCTAAAACCATTACCCTAAAAATTGAGTGGCATCTTTTACATGGAAGTAAGCTGATGGCTGAGAAGCCAACAAAAGGGCACATACCTTGCCTCTGTAAACAGACTCCCTTCAGCCTGAGTTTCCTGGTCAGGGGATTTAGCTTCTTCCAGTCAGGAGCCTTATGGAACTGACGTCATTTGGAACACACCTCCTTAGAGGTGGAGCCTGTAGGCTCATGATTCAACAGAGACAAAATGTCGGACCTTTTGAGCTCTGAGGCTGAATCCTCAAAGCTACGTTTTCTTAATTTGGGAGTTAGAAAATTGGGGAGGGCGTCTTATAAATGGGGGCGTGTTATAAATGGAAAAATACAGTAACTCAGTCTCTCTTCTAGATATACACATGCATTATACATTGTGTATTACTTTGAAGCATGCATTTCTACACAGTTCCTCTTCAACCTTCCTGAAATGCAATCATGTCTGCATATTACAAACATAATGCAGGGGTTACTGCATGTGATGAAGACCTACCCTCTCCTTCACCACAGCCACGTAGCATATGATTGGCCATGCTGGTATCTTGATGCAGGCAATTGTATGGAATGCTCCTGTTTCAGGGAGCCATCTCCTTCTGGCTTGGAAATCTTTCATGCTGCCCATGAGAACATGGAATCACTTGTACTGTGCTCTCAAGCCACAGCAGAGGGAAGATACTCTTATCTCTGCATTTTGTTTGCAATATGGGTTTTAGCTTTTAGTAGCCCTAAGGCATGTGTGTATGTTTGCACATGCAGCCATGCTGGTCCATGGTCTTGGCAATACTGAAATAGGAAAATAATCTGATATTTTCCCCCAAGAGCTTCAGCTGAGAATTTGAACATTTTTCTGAACTAGATACCATCCAGAACTAAGAAGTAACTAGATAGTAACAAGTCACTAAAGGTAAAAGTTCCCATTGACATCTAGTCCAGTTGTGTCCGACTCTAGAGTGTGTGCTCATCCTGATTTCCAAGCCATAAAGCCAGCGTTTGTCTGTAGACAGTTTCCGTGGTCACATGGCCAGTGGGACTAGACACGGAACACCGTTACCTTCCCATCGAGGTGGTACCTATTCATCTACTCACATTTACATGCTTTCGCACTGCTAGGTTGGCAGGAGCTGGGACAAGCGACGGGAGCTCACTCCATAGCTTGGATTCAATCTTACGACTGCTGGTCTTCTGACCTTGCAGCACAGAGGCTTCTGTGGTTTAACCCGCAGCAGCACCACATTCCAAAGTCACTAGTTACATGTAATTACCGCTTTTCTAATAACAAAGGTACAGGTGTATTCCATGATGACTGCCTATGAATGATGGAGGAAGAATATCACCAGGTTCAAGTCTTTTGCTTGAATACTGACTGAAAAAGGAGGGGAAAATGCTCCCAGGCAAAGAGGTGTGGCTGTCTTCAAAATCAGAAGCAGAGAGGAAACAATTGGTCACTCCTGGATTCAGTGACAGTCACCCCAGCCCACAAAGGTCACTCTCAACAAAACCTATTCAAGAGGTTGAAAATAATTCCAACAAAATGTAGCAAATGTTCCATACAGCAAGAGCATACAGTCATTCAGACATTTCTTCAGCTGACTACCTAAGCAAATGCTCTTTTTTCCCCTCTTCCAGGTGGTTCCATCAAGGTCCTAATCCCTACATTGGAGGACAAGACTGGATTTATTCTGGGAACTACTGGGACAGAAACTACTTTAGCTTACCTGATATTTATTAAAATGCATTGGAAATGCAAGGCTAACACAAATATGTCTTAAATCAGTTTTGTGTTTTCCTTTGTTGCTATCCTCTTAGAAAAACAACTGACACATTTTAATTGAATGTACTATTATGCAGCTTCTGCAGCAATTATGGTGGGACAAGTGCGTTGTGAGGAAGCAGTTGTTCTTGCCATGGTCCCCACATTGCACTATGCATACAAACTGATCTGATACAGGTGCTGTATTTTGGAGAAAGAGTGTTACCTATATTTGCTGAAGAAAACAATATAACTAATGACCTGTTCTGGATCAACATGGAAAACAGAAGATCTTTAGGTTTTCTGTCTCTCTTTGGTCAGTGATAGCTTTGCTGGCATAATGGAAACTTAAGACCTCATACAAGACAGAAATATCAAAAGCACATTTGTGAAATGCAATACTACTGTGGCTTGAAGCCAGGAAAGGGCATGCCACTCTTAGGAAGACCTACTCAACTTTCTGAAAGTGATGTTCCATTACTTCATAAAACACTAGGTTATGGATAGCAGGTACAAGCTAAGTTACTATCACAGTAACTCTGTACCCGTCTGCTCCTCCCATTCATGTCCTCCCCAGACATTAAGTAGGATTACTAGGTAACAATACATAGCAGTGTCTATTCCATGTTTAGTGCAGTGTTCTGAATTTTCTCGTTCATGTTTTATTACCGTGTGCTCATATCTTTAAGGAATTAAGAGCCATTTAAATATTTGAAAATTTAATTTGAACCAAGATGAAGTATTTTTTTAAATGCACTAAGAGGTGCTCAGCACTATCAGAAATCTAGGGGGGAACGGTCCTCGGAAAAATGATGGGATACTTCAGATGCATCTGGGTGTTTTCTATCAGCAGCAACCTCCTGAAGGAACTTGTGTGCATTTCAAAGCCAGTAAGATAGCTCTGAGACTATTGTACACAGCCGATTTGCCCCTTTGTTTGGGGTGCATTAAAATTTACGGATTATATATTTGTATAAAATGAAGTACGTAAATTTCAAAGGGGCCAGCTGTTCTTGTATAATTTAATTGTTTGAAAGGATAGTGTTAACTGAACTATTTAATTGCTATTAAATAAAGGCTTTAAACTGCTCCATGATAGGTGTTTGATTTTTCTTCTGCAGCTTTCTTGTAAGCACTCGGCTACAGCTCCCATCATCCCCAGCCAGGAAGGCTGCAATACTGGGTCTTTCAGTTAAGCTTTATTTAAACATTCTTTCTTATAATGGCTGTAACAGGAATATGTTTAAGTAGAATAATTTAATTGCATTAGGATTTTGCTGTCACACTGATTGTGTGTCTCCCAGTATACTCTGCTAAGCCTCGTGTAAGGAGGCAAAAAACTTAGTGGGACTATATTGTCTCCATGGAAAATTAATTTTAAAATTAACATTCAGTCAAAATGGGAGTACTGTACGTCCAGATTTTAGTTCTCCATCACTTCATCACCACTCTTAGAACACTAAAATCATGAGAAGGAAGCTTTAAGGCTCAGATGGCTTGCATTGCTTTATTGCTTGTACAAGTTAATGAATATTTTAATTAAAGATGCAGGTTTCCATTCTGGGGTGAAATGTTGGACAGCACCTCTTCTCAATCTGCAAGGGTGAAAAAAACTCAATGAATTTAGCATTGGATCACAGGCAGTAAAGCTTATTCCTGATACAGTAACAATACAATAGTATATGCTGTTGCCACTTGCAGAAGAGTATGAGGATCATTTTCTCCTAGTGAAACCATTGGCCTTTAAAGTCCAGTTGCAGCCACACAACAAGTATCTCAGGCATAGAACATTCTTCTTCCAAGGTAGCAAACCTTGGGACTTTACTAAGCAAGTGGCTGAGCATTGGAACTTGAATCAACATAACATATCACATATTGTTTATGTGGTGGTAATAAACTGGAAACCACAATTTGGAAAGAATTTCCCATGCTGCCTCAAAGGCAAGGTGCCAACCCTAAATTATCTATATGGGTGATAGAGCAAATTAAGGCTTGGCACCCAAAAAAGACACTTTAACAATGTAACAGCAAAAGGAGGAAGAAAAAAGTGTGCCCCTAACCAACTGCTTGTTTCTAAACCTCTATGGCAGGAAAGGAGAACGTGTGCTCTTCCCCAAGTTGGTCTACAACATATCTTGCCCCCTGCTGGAGCTGAAAATTCAAATATAAAGACTCCATGAGGACATCAGGTAGCTCAGCCCTGCTCTGCAGCTTAGTCAAAAATGAGCCCCTGTGTGTATATATTTCAATGAAAAAAAAACTTTCATGGAAGTAGTGTACTTGACTGAAATGGTGAAAATGTGGTTCAAAGTAAATATAGGAGAATGGTCAATCCAACTATATTGTCAACAATGTAGATAGGTGAAAGCAAAGTCAGCATCATCTGGTAAATCATATGGCAATTTAAGATTAGTAAGAAATTCTAATGAAAGCCATTGTATGCCCCAACCCCATCCCAAAACAGGTTGATGGGAAAAAAAGATTGCTGGGGACCACTATGGATTTGCCTAAGGAAAAAAAATGATTTGAAAACAAATTCTTGAGCTGAACAGGTGCTCAGTCACCCTGGGAGCTTCCAGATGAAGCTTTTAATTTTGCATTGATCCTGCCTCACACAGGGAATTTTATGCAGGCTGCTAAAGATGCCTTCCATTGTGATCCTTCTCCCCCATCCCCAATGCTGCTTTAGTCTTTATTCTTACTAGGGGGGGAAAGCCACAAAGGAAGGGCAGACGGAATAGGTGCACCTTCACTGACTGTACTCTTTCTAGAATCAGTGCCATCAACATAAGACAGAGAAGCGTCTCACCATTTTGCATATGGCTGCACCCCAAAGATCTTAATATCCTATTAAAAACAAACAGCAGCAACTTGTTGCTCAAACCAACCAGAGAAAACCCACTGACTAAATAGTTTCTGCAAAAGTGCTGAATCAGCAGATGATCCAGTGGATCTATTTATAATTGGAGTAGTCACAGGATACCAGCCACAGTGGATATGTAAGCCTAAAATCTGACCATCCAATCTATCCTGAACTAGCACTGACTTTGCAGGATTTCAGGTATGTCCCTGCCACACCTGGAGAATTCAGGGATTGAATTGGGAGCTGCAATCAACATGTATTCTCTGTCATGAAGCTACAGCCGTTATTTTTCAGTCTATGGAACAACCTAGCAGAAACCCAGCACAGTTGATAAATGTGTTCCGCTGTCATGCAAGAATGAATCCAGAATTCACTCCTCCTTGCGACAGCAGCCCTGGATAAAAGTTCTGGTTAGTAATCCGGGAATTCTCCAACTAGTAGGGGAGAGGTGATTTTTTACGAATGTTCCCCTCCAATCACCAAATCCACATCCCATGCTGTTGGGTCCTCAAGCTGCTGGAGTAGATCTTTTAGGGGCCACAAAGGAGGAATTCACCAGAGTCACATTTGTTTATGGAAGACAGCATGGATCCATCTCACTGCTCAGAATCCTAGTGGTTAGCTATACCAATGTAGGCCCAATGGCATGAACTGCAAAAGCACATTGCTGCTGATTGACAGGTCAATGCTTGGCATTCTTTGTTGCACACTAGTTGCATCGGTTGGCATGTGATGACATACACGAGCATCAATTGCATGCTGCATTTTATGCCACTACATTTACTGTAACATAACTGACTAATATGATGTTGGCCATTGTTAATTCTGATCCAGCTTTCCACCTGGTGCCCTCTGTAGGTACTCATCAACTGCTGGACACGAGTCCCAATGGTTATGTATCAACATTCCATATCCTGCATTTAGTCACAGCGTAACTTCTGAAATGGTGGGACCAAATTAAGCTGTTTGGATGTTCATCATCTTAAAACCAATCATTAAAAGGCTGTCATACAGTAGCTCTAGCACACTACCTCTGCAAAAAGTAGGCCTGTAGCCTGCAATGACAGCATCTAGCCATAGCAGCTCACTGCCTTTATCTCTAGTCACTCAGGAGAAATACTGTATATGTCCCTTTTATCCCCATGGTAATAGGAATCCCAGTGATTTGGGAGCACGGTGCCTTGAAAACAGTACTCTTGTCATTTGAAATCCTGCCTCAGTTCAGCTAAATCTAATTTTGTCCTCCCTTTTTGGCTACTCTCTTGACACCACTGCAGATGGGAAAAAACAATCCTCACCACATTACGTATATCAGCCTTTCCCAATGTAGTATCCTCCGCTTGTGTTGGAAGATGACTCCCATCATCCCCACAGAGCACTTTCGTGAGGTTAACATTTCAAATGAACAGAGGTAAACTGGGCAGGCTTTTCTGATATAACACTGGCATGGATTAATGAACTGCTAACACTAGTTCTGGCTGAATGATCTGCCTCAAGAATGGAAGAAATCTGCATTTCTTTGAGAATACCAAACCCAAAAACGGTGAGTTTCAGTGTTAGCAAAACAATGTTTACAAAATTTAAAAATACCCAACAACGCTCTTCAGAATACTCTGAAGTAGTTCACCTTTCTTTTCTTCTGGGGACATCCTGGGATTGATTGTGTAGCTTGCTCAAAGTCACACAAGCTGGCTCTAGCATAACACAGTATCTGGTTGGACCACATCTCCCCGCTTCCCTTGCCCCTAGGTTATTATTCTGGCTAGGGCTGATAGGACTTACAACCCAACAATGGGGCCATGCCTAACCCATCTCTGGTTTAGGTGGCTAAACCTACAAACTGTTAAGTTACTGTTGGCTCCGTCCATATGCAAAACCACTGCATCTCTTGCTACTAAGACCAGAAGCCCTCCGAGATTTCCTCAGCTTACCTTTTTGCTATTCTGTCCTGCGTACTGAGGCAGTCGTAAATGTGATCTCTCCTGCTATGCCATAGCTGCCTGCAAAAGGTGCTTTATCCCCAGCGCCTGAGCCCTTCTTCCCATTCATCACATCTTCCAGTGGTATGGCAACTGAAAGAAAAACTGGAGTTGGAGGCCTGCCGCTATCCTGTGCAGAGTTTGTATTGGGGTTGGCCGTTTTTGGATCTGCGGGCCTAGCGACGGGCACAGGTATGGTGGCGAACCTCCTCACAGTACCAGCAGCATCCGGTTGTGTAAGGACAGCATGGCCAGGGATGGGTTTCCAGTCCTGCTTATTCTGAACAGATGATCCCACTAAAATGAAAGGTGGTGCATTTCCCTTCTTCCCTTCTTCCATCATCACATAAGTTGGAGAGGACACTTGTGGTGGTTGACCTTGTTGTATCATCTGCGGCTGTAGATACTGTGGTTGGTCCTTACCACTAGATATGAATAGGGTTGCCTGGGGAACAGGCACACCAGTTCCAACAGATGGAAGCGGTGGTTGTGGTGGTGGTGGTGACTTACGACCTTGTTGTTTCAAATCAGTTAGACAATAGAGAGTCCACACATTAGAATATGGTGGTGGCTGTCCTGGTTCGCTTGTTGCCATGGCTATAAAATAAAAATTTAAAAGAAAATTTGCTGGCATGAAAGACCATCTACTAGGAGACACGAATTGCAGTCATATGCATATCCTTAAAATACAACATTATGCCGCAAGTGAAAACATGTTACAGAGAGGAGAGAGTTCTTGAAGGCAAAAGATGGGATCTTGGCATGGTTGAAATAGAGGAGTAACAGCAATGCTACTATAGCTTTACTGGAGATTGAAAAGGGGACTCTTCTATGTTCTTGTTTGACTGATTTACAGAGGGTGGATCTAAATTGTGAATTTCGTTGTATGGTATACTGTGTATATACTTACAATGACAATAAATTATATTATTATTATAACTCATTTTTCTTCAGTGTTACTGGCACAGAGTTGCCATGTGCTGGGTGAACTAATTTGTAGGAGGCATTCAATGCACACAAAAGCCTCTTACCACCACAGCTTCAGCAAAAGTTTTTTTTTCTTAGCCTTGTGATAGCCATAGAATCCATAATCTACTGAATCCCTCCAAGTTATCCAGTGCAACAGCTGTTGGAGATAAAATGGCTAACTCCAGCCCTCATGGGCCAGCTTTTTTAAAAGGTTAAAATTAATCCAAAGGGCCAGATTTGAATCTTGGTATGTCGAATCTATCATGTTTTTCCCCTCTTGAGATATTGCAGATTGGCTGTAAAATTTAAGACTTTTTTTTCTTTACAGAAAAAAGTTACAGAAGCGTGGGATGGGGGGGAACGCCCAACAAGGCTTGCTTCTGCCACTGTATCATTGCTCCTTTGGGGCAGCCATGCCAAGTGACCGTGTTCCTCTGCTTCTTCTGCACTCTCTCTCTTATGCAACAGGTTTTCATATCTCCCTTACCTATACCTCTAATGGGAAGTGACTGGCTTTGGGGGAGACTGTGCAGTTCTATAGACCACACCAATAAAAGAAGAAAAGACCTCAGGAGACTTTCTCCAGCTGACAACAGTGGTTTGGTTAACCACTTCTTTCTTAGCTGTGGTAGAGACCATTTTGTGATAGAAAGCCAGGCCTGCGGCTGTAACAGCCTTGTGGCTGCTTAGTGAAAAGTGCTTAATCCACTCCCTGCAGTTCAGCTGGAGAAGATGGGACCTAATGGGACAGCGCAGGCAACCACCACCATTTCGTTTAAATGCAAATACCTATGTTAATACAATGGCGGAGAGTCTGGAGCAGGGTTAGGAACAGGTAGTCCTCCAGACACTACCAGATGGAAACACCCATCAATGCTCACCAGCACAGCCAATGGAAAAGGCTGATGGGTGCTGGAGTTCAACATCATCTGGAGGGCCACCCATTCCCTACCCCTGGTCTACATGCTTGGTTAAAAAAAGGGGGAAAGTCAAGTCACAGTCATCTACATCACTTCTCCCTTAGCTGCCATTAAGCATGTATGCCGTTTTGATTCGAAATGCATAGTTTACTTGTGAGAGAGGCTAACCCATGGCTGAAAGAGATCCATAAACGTGTTACTCATGAATTCTCCTACAGCACAGTGGCTGACTGTAGCTTTGTCCTGCCCGGCTCAATCTGTTTCCAGAAAATAATGCCAGACTTGGGCAGTAAAGCTGGAGCAGACAAGCCGTGCGCATGATTATTGTAGGGGGCTCACTCACAATCAACTACGCACCCAGAAACAAAAATCTCACACATGGACATTGCAAGCCAGGCAAGTGCTGTGGGGCCTGTGACTCCCTTTCATTGATCTCAGCGCAGCACCAGCATAGATACTTGCATTTAAATCAGTAAGGTCCCAACCTTCAAGGCACTCTCCTGGCAGAGGCCCTCTTGGTTTCAGCGGGGCTTCTGCCAGGCCAAGTGCGCTTGAGAAGAGGGAGTTTCCATTCCTTACATAGTGACAGTTACTACTATAACACAGAATAGGCAGGTTTCAGAAATATCCCAACTTTCTTACCTGACATAATAAAACCTGGGTCAGCTGATCTCAGTTGCTCTGAAGTGTCCATCCTGTCAGGGTCACATTCTGCATCATCTGCAGATGGATCTAAAATACTAGTTAACTGGCCTGCATTTAGTGAAGCCGTAAGCGGATCTAAGAGACATGCTACCGTGTCTACGAAAGGAATGACTATATGCTGCGGAAACTGCTCTACGTAAGGTGGTGGCAGGGGCTCTCCACCAGCCTCTGGGTCATCATCGCACATGGGTGTGATACGTAAGTCCGACATGATATCAATTTCGCTCGGACAAGGCTCAGCCTGCAATGGATCTTTATCGGGAGGAGGTGGTGGTGCTGGCGGGGGTTCTTCCTGCAAGGGGTCTGAGGAAGCAGGATCGACTAAGTCAGCTGGTGGGAGCTCAGCCTGACTGCCTGAGGTCACTGCTTCCCCGGGAACGGAGGTGTGACTCTGAGTGGCCGACCCAGCCCTGAGAGAGTGGGCAGAAGCTGCAGGTGCTGCTTCTGCTGGGGTGGGTTCTGGTTCCAGTTCTGGCTCTGCTGGGATGGGTTCTGGCTCTGGTTCTGGTTCTGCTGGGGCGGGTTCTGGCTCTGGTTCTGGTTCTGCTTCTGGGGCGGCAGCAGGTTCTGCTTCGAGGACAGATCCTTCTTCTTCAGCAGCTGCTTCTGCTGGGCCAGGTTCAGGGGCCAGGGCAGGGGCTGGCGGCGCAGGCGCTAGTGGCGCAGGTGCTACCGCAGCTCCAATGTCCTCTGAACTGTGGGACATCTTAGGAAGGGTCTGCACAGAGATTGCCACATCCTTCAATTCAGGTTCAGAACCAACCATTTCAATGTTACCTAGCATCTGTGTAGCTAGCTGGGCTGGATCGGCTGGGATATAGGCAAGTCCAGCTCCCTTTTCATCCTCAGCCTTTTGTACAAATTCGTCAACAGTGGATGGATATTGGGTAGTCTTGGTGCTCAGTTCACGTTTAGGTTCTTCGCTTATCTGGTCCTCTTCTGTGTCAGTCGACTTCTCCTTCCGTTTGGGTTCGTCAGAAACCGGGGTCATTGTGTCCAGGTCTGAACGGAATGCATCTCCCACATCCGCCCTTTTGGAACGGGGCATTGGCTGTGCTCCGCCTGCTCCTTCGGCCCATCCTTCCACTGCAGAATAATAATTACAAAATGAGTTAGACGCAGATCTCCTTAAACCAACAGCAGGCATGCTTTAGTTGTCCAAAGGTCTTGGTCTACTGCCCGCTCAAAGCTTCCCTATACTGGGTGAGATTTCTGGAAGCTGAAGACCCAAGCACTGGAAGGTGCAAAGTTCCAAAGATCAACTCCAATCTGGAAGTTCAACACTCTTTTTCAATGACAGAGTGTTAAGCAACCAGTGGAGCCAAGCAACCATTAAGACAAAAAGGGCCCTGCCCTGCTTCATACTCCCAACTATTCCTAGCCAGTCCGTCCTGCTTACCGCAGGGAAAGGGTCAGCACCTCACTTGTTTGCCCTTCTGCTATGTGTTATTTTGCTTGTCTGCCTGGGCTTGTTTATACTCACTTTTAACCCAGCTCCCTTGGCTGCATGCACTGGTGCGCACCAAATACAACAGGCACCAGGCACTACTGCAAGCCAATTAGTGAACACAAAACCACAAGAAATAAGGAAATCTAGAGGTCTGATCATGCATCCAACAGCCATTTAGTGGCCCCTTACAGGCTGACTATCCAAAAAAAAAATTTTTTTTTTTGAAGAGTGGTTTATTTGTGAAGACTAGTCATCAGACAAAATGGACCTTCACATAATCTCATTTTACAATGTGGGATGAGATATTCATGCCGATTCAGCCTATCCATGGCAGGTCCATATGCTGCCATTCATGTGGGACCTGATAAGTGAAGCCCCCAATTAAAATAGCAAAAATACCAGGAGAATCGCAACTGAAGAGTTAATATTGGCCAAAACAGTATCCATCTCTTTCCTTTAAGGGTAGTTTCATAGCTCAGCAACAGTACATTTGCCTACAAAAGCTGTCAAGTTCATTTTCTGTCACTATTGGGTACTGTTGGGAAAGATTCATCTGAAATTTTGAAGGGCTTGTGTTGGCTACTGTTAATAATGGCCCCAGCAATGGCCTGACTTAGTATAATGCAGATTTCTGTATTTATTCTGGGACTTGCACAAACCTTTCCACTTCAAATAAGTAAAGTATCATTTTGTGTACTCTCATGGCAGAGTTGGTCAACTGTTGCCTGCCAAATGCTGTCAGATTGAAGCAGGCACCAGCCTAGTCAGCACGAAAAAGATAACAGGAACTGTAGTCTATACATATGTGCAGGGATAGAGTTCCTTTATCCTTGCATTGGAAGAAAACTACAGACAAGTCAGCCAGATATCAGTACCAAACAAAACTTCCCAAGAGATTATGAAGAAACCAGTTTGCAATCATCTAGGAAACGGTGCATAAATTACAGGAAACCAGCACATATTCATCAAGAATAAGTGTGGGCAAATATATATATATAATGCATTCTTAAACTATACAAAAAAGAGCATCACATCTAGAATCCTCCCCCCCCAAAAATTCCACTCTGGATGTTTTGGGCACGCCTGTTGTTTTCACTGAATAATCCCCATGCGTCAAAGTAGGCAGCCCAGTGCTCTCTGGAAGTTCTGGCCAACCATTCTCATAACAGCTGCCCATCATCCATGATGGCTCGCAAGAGTTACAGTCCAATATGTCTGGATGGCACTTGAGGCTCTAATTACCTCTGCTGCGCAGAAATTGCACTGCCACACTGGCATAAATGCCGAGGGAGTAAAGGGCAAAAGAGAAAATGAAGTTAGCACTGCTTAACCCCCGCAGTGCCTTCTACCACTTTTTGTGATTGCATTTTCACACTGAAGTGTTAAATTAACATGATCAAGATGCTTTAAGCAGATGCTCCCCAAGATTAAGTGACTCCAGAGAAGGGGAAACAGAACTTGAAAAAGTTACTTTTTTGATTATGTGGTAAGGAATAGTGAGAGCTGTAGTCCAAAAAGTAACTTTTCCAGGCTCTGAAAAGAAGAGAAAAGGTTAAACTCATTGTGACAGAATACATATATTCACTCTTTTTGAGAACTGCAACTGCAGAATATACTGGACAGATTAATGAAAGATGTGCAGCTGGAAATATCATTTATAGCCAAAAGACATGTTTTTTCAACCAAACAAAACATTAAGTCAAGAGGCCCAGGAGTTTATTGATAAAATGGCTAATGAGCATACACTGACATCAAGTACAGTAAAATGGATTCACTGAAGGATATTGTCTTATTACAGCAAATGGATTTCAATGCATTGAAATCACTGAATTGATTTAGGTGGACTTGTTCTATGTATAATCAAGTCTTGATTGAACCCTATTCATTTCAGGCAGCAACCATATGAATTAAATTTCAGTCACTTTTCAGTACTATGATTTTAAATGATGACCAAGAATGTGAAATTAACAGAAACCAGCAGGGGTTCTGAGGCCCTCATGTGGTGGAAAGAAGCTGCAAACTCAACACAGGAGAAACAAGACAATCCAAGAGGAAATGAAGTTTGAGCGGGCTGGGCAGAAAGCATCCAATGGTTGTAGAGAAAAGGGAGAATCTAGTCCAAAGAGCAAGAGATGGGGAACAGAAGACGCCATATACTATTGGTAGATTCTACCTAGTCTTGCTCACCTTAAGATAGTTACAGCTTTCAAACCTTTCAAATTAAAAGGTCCAAGCATATTTTCCATAGACCACGACCGACTTTATATACAGTATATTTTTTAAAAAAGGTTATTCACCCAAGCACTTTCATCTGGACCCAACACCATGTCTTTTAGTCCATTTTGGATAAACAAGTGGGTGGCAGCACAATAACGTGAAACTGCTAAATATACCAATTATTGTAGACTTCATTCCAGTGATGACTTGCTGAATGGGTGTCCACGCACAAATTGCATCACAATTATTTTAGAAGTCAGAATGATGTTCATATAATGTGTGATGGTCAAGCAAGTAGGCTTCATCACTATTAGCTTTAAGCTGCTAAATAGCAGCCACATTTCTGCAAGTTACAGCTGTCAGTGTAAAGCAATCAGCAGAAATCTTGGCAGCAAATTGCTCTAGGTTAGAAACTCAGCATAGGCATTAGCTACTGCACAACTCGGGGCACAGCTGCAAATTTCTCTGCTGACTTCTTAGCTTGCTGCAGTAGACCTCAAAGATGGACAGACTGTGTTACAGCAGCATTAACATCGCAAAGCGAGGCATTTTGGTTGTGTGGGGGTGTTGGTTGTGTGGGGGTGTTGGTTGTGTGGGGGTGTTCTGTGCCATCAATTCACGACCAATATACACCGACCCTAATAGAGCATTCAAGGCAAGTGGGATATTTAAGGAATGTTTTTACAATGTCCATTCCCCCAGTGAACCTCCATGGCCAAGTGCGGATTTGAACCTTGTTCTCCAGAGTCCTAGTCCATCACTCTATCCGCTACACCACACTGGGATTTTGGCAACTATTTATTTTACGTTGCTGTAGCCTAAGGTGGTGTTGACCCAAGATGAGCAGGCAAACTCTGTCCCAAGACTACAGTGTTTACTGCACCATTCCTTGTCTCCCACTCTCTACCTCATTTGCAGATACTACAGTGATGCCTCGCTTAGCGATGTTAATCCATGCAGCAAAAATTGCTGCTAAGCGATTTCATCACTAAGCGATTTTAAAAAGCCCATAGAAACGCATTAAAGCGTGTTTAATGCGTTCCTATGGGCTTCAAAACTAACAAGGGAAAATCCTCCATTGCGGCGGCCATTTTCAGTGCCTCTAAAGTGAGGCAAAACAGCAGGCGGCCATTTTGTTTACCCGGCGGCCATTTTGAAACCGGCGATCAGCTGGCCGAAAATGGGGGGTTTGCAATGATCGCTTCCCTGCGAACATCGCAAAGTGAATTTTCCCCATAGGGGCCATTGCAAAGCGATCGCTCTTGCGATGGCAAAAAGTCCATCGCAAAGCGATTTCATTGCTATACGGAGTGATCGCTATGCAAGGCATCACTGTATATGGTCACTCACTTGCCTCCTGCCTTAGTCTGTCTCCTAACTGTCCTCGTGTATCTAACTAGAGAATGCAGAGAGATAATGGCTCGCTTTTCATTCTATGTATGCAGGCTGTATGGTAGAGGCAACCCATCTGGAGATACATAGATTGGGAAATCACCTGATGCCTTTTGTAGGTAGCTGATGGCTTATAAAGAGATGAGATGACTGTCTAAAAGGTTGGGTACGTTGGAGATAAAAAGCAAGAGCTCTTCTGACATCCAAATTCTTGGTTTGAAGAAGTTGACAGAAAAAAATGAAGGAAGGACAATCGGCTGGGAACGATGAAACTAAGAGACAATTTTGAGGAGGAAGGAAATAATAACTTCACCTTATCAGGAAAAAATTGTAGATAAGGGTAGTCATAGCGTAAAGCTGCCAATTCACCAGCTCGTCGAGCTGAGGTGATGGCTACGAGAAAAGCTGTTTTAAAGGTGAGCAGTTCTACGTCAGTTGTAGCTAATGGCTCAAAAGGAGCTTTGGTAAGCTGTTTCAAAACAAGAGTTAGTGACCACTGTGCAGAGGGGGGTCAAGTACTGGGGTAGATATGAGAGAGACCTTTCAGAAAACATTTTGTTGTTGGTTGCTTAAAGACGTTTGCTGCTGGAGAATTTGGAGGTTGGTATGATATTATTGCCAAAAGGTAGACTCTCAAGGATGAGATAGAGAGGCCCTTGGATTTGAGATGTAGGAAGAAGCGGAAAACAGTGGAAAGTGATGGATTGATGAAGGATGACGAGGAAGATTTGGTAAAGGATTTAAATTTCTTCCATTTGTACAGGTAGGCTTTCCTTGTGGATGGTTTTTTTTTTTTTACATGATGAAGAACATTCATTAACAAGGGAGAATCCTCCATGCTGCCAGGTGCAGAACAGGTAAGTTCGGGCGTAGGACTTGGGAGTTGTTCTGTGTGAGAAGGTGTGGCAGGTGGGGAAGATGGTGGATGTCTGATGAGAGACTGTGGAGAACTGGGAACCAAGTGTGTCTTGGTCACCAAGGGGCTATAACGATGGCATTGGTTTTGTCTTGTTGTAGACGGACGACA